GCGAGCGAGGAACAGAGCAAACCTCGTGATCCATCTCATCCCCAGCTTGGATCTGAAGCATATCCCATGGTTCTTGAAGGGGGCGAAGTGATTGGCTATCAACATATGCTTCAATGGCTGAAATACATCTATCAGAAGTAAGTCCTTGACATATCCGTTCTCACAGTCTAGCTGATTACTACAATTTAGCGCGTACAGAAGAGAAAAGTTTGACGAGGAAGACCTCACGTACCTTCTCCGATGGGGCCATTTCTGGGCTGTTGAGCATGCCGTCAAATTCGCGAAAGATGAGCTTGTCACCATGGTTCGCTCCAAGCCGCCCAGCGTGAAGTTAGGACTCGCGAGACAATTCCTGATAAGTGAATTTGTCGAGCCCGGGTTGGAGCCATACATCGACATTGGTGCTACCCCTCAGTTGAAAGATATCACGCAGGATGATATTTATCGCATGGGATATCGCACCTATGAGATCATAGCTCGTACCCGCGAGACCAATCTTCGAAGGCGCATAGAGTTGGCCATGATTGCACCCTCGATGGGGATCCCGGAGGATGGCCTTCTCGCCAAAAACTGTACACCCGCCCAACATGACATCTGCCGACAAGCCTGGAAGGAGGGTTGGCGGAACGACGTTGCCGCCCGTCTCCTAGACAGAGAGGCTCCAATCCCATTCCATCTTATTTCTTCTTTTATTCATACCCAAGTGACCTACAGGGGTCCTCGCCAGACACCAACTGCATATTCACGGATCAATCAACAGTGCGGATTGGCCGCCGTTGACAACCTTACCTGGGGGCCGGACCTGGAGGAATATGGTTGGATAGCAATCAAGAATAGTGCCGTGGAAAGAGTTAAGAAGCTGTATGGATGCTGGGAGGGGAATGATGTGATGGTAAATGGGAGTCTTCCTGATGAGTTGCTCGCCGGAGGTGTGGTTGAATACATATAGGGCAGACGTGGAATTTGGAGGGAAAATGTTTGGATTATATTTCTTGGTACATATGAACTACAAACTGCATATAGATCGCGTCAGATTTAGCTGAAGCTTCCAAGGATACAGCCACGTACCAAATGAAGATTGAAAGCTTTTCCGATTCTACTCAAGGGCCTAAAAGTCCATATCCTGAGTTGAGATATACTGGAGTCATTGGTCAATAATGGAGCAGAGCAATAGTTGATGCTACTTGCCTTTGATAGACAGAGGAGAAGGCAGGATAAGAGTCTGCGTGGCCTTCGTCGTCGACGTCGAGAAGAAAGGAACTGTGAGAATTTGTCAGGTGACACCTGGTGCGCGTGCGCGCACATAGGGCTCAGCGCGCACAGACCTCCACCCGCCCAGCTCTCTGTCTCAGCCTCCTTGAATCACGTCCTGAATACTCAAGAGAACATATACATTGAATTCAGATAGGTAAGTGCGTGCTATAATTACATGAGCGCGCCAGTCTTATTTTTTGTGCAAACGGAGGAGGATAGACGACCGATGCACCGTGGCGACAGGAAACACGAGCTGTCACGGCCATGTGAGCGCCGCACGGACTAGTAACGCATCACGGCTCTGACATCACTGAGCGCTTAACGGCTATTTACAACTTCCGAACATGAGATTATTCTCTTCACATCCCGAACCAAAGCCCACTCGGGAAGACAACCATCATAGCTAAGATATAATTTGACCACACGATGTCCCTCCTCCTCGCCGAGTTCGCCCCCTTTGACCCGTCTCGTACCCACTCCTCATGAGCAGCATGCATCATCAATACAAACGCTTGTCCCTCAGCGCTCTTCTCTCCCGGAGCTCCATACCAATGCGGATTAACGACAGGCGTTAACCACCCATCCGAGGTGAAATGCACCATAGACCCATTATTGTACACGGAATACAACGCCT